AACATGTAGGGATTAGTGATAAGTACTCGGATAAGTATCATTAACACTACTAGGTGTTTCTGAATTCAAGTGACAGAAGCCTATACAGGTTTCTTCCTATTTAAATAAAAAATTAGTAGGTATGTATACCATTTACAGATTTTGCAAAAAAGTTCCGGTACACATTGAAAAAAAATCTTATGCCGATTTGAATGATAATTATTTTAACAGCTCATTGAAGTCTTCTTGAGATATCGTTCGGAACTCTTTAATTTGCCCAGTTATTCAAGAATTGTGTTTACGACAAGTGTTTCACTTTTGTTCACGAAGAATACCATTAGTCGATTTTCCCAATTCATTTCAGATGAAACAGTTGAAAATACAGGGTGGGCCACCAGTAACGCCTCGGTCTCTAGAAGGCTAACCACTTATCTTCTTGGAATTCTTCCTCTCTAGGAAGTTGCATGTCAGCATAGGCTACCATTCAAAATTATTTCGAAACATACAGGGTGTCCCCAAAAACCATAAAACACTGAAGTTGAACTTTTTTCTATCGAACACCCTATATATTATTTCATTTTGAGATTCTCCCTGGTGAGCTGATTTCAACAATCCATCATACTTGGGGTCTAGCAGTTATAATTACTGAAATATAGGGTGTGAAAAATCGGGATTTTCCAAGTTTAAGAATTTTTTGTGTCGAAACTATTCATAATTGGTCAAAACGGCTTACAAATCCCTATCTCAACTTTTGATTAACTATCTACTGATATTTAATTGGGACATATACCGGGTGATCAAGATTCTGAATTTAGTTTCTGAGATACAGAGTGTCAAAGTTGAATTCTTATTTTTGTTTTTTGTTAATAAATTCCAAAATAATTGTGATAATCGAATGAAGTTTGGTAGTTGGTCTCTTTCGTGGGGGTGGCGCTACCTATATGTCTTTTGAATTTTTGAAAAGTCTTAACTTTTCTGTTCGTACCTGTATCACGTTTTATAGTGAGAAAATAGCTTTCTAGGACATTTTTGTGTAAAAAGTATATTCTTGGTAGAGGTCGATGCGAGCAACTGTTTTCGAGATATTGGGATTTGAAACAATCGATGCATTTGAATTAATTCCATTGGGCTCGTAAGTCGACTCTAAGCAGTTAGAAAAGATACGTCAGTGCATTTTGCTTCTTTCATTCAATATTCTCCTCCATTCAACAATTCAACATTGGAATGTAGCCAAATGATGATTCTTACTTCTTTGTATCTATTTTTTTGGCCATTTTGAACAATCACTTTAATCAATTCCCTCAACTAACTGTTTTAGTATTTATTTGGTCTTAATTACAGTTATTATTATCAGTATTAATAAAAAAAAAAAAATTTTTCCTTACCTACTTGATAAATAAATTTTGAATTCCTACTTCTTCGTCATTCCAAATTACTTGCATCGATTATTGAAAATCCCAATAACTCGAAAACTGTTGCTCGCAGAAGAATATGTTTTTCACACGAACGTGTTCTAGAAAACTATTTTCCTACTATAGAACGTGATACAGGTACGCACAAAAAAGTTGTGACTTTTCAAAAGACTCAAAAGACATGTAGGTGCCGCCACCCTCACGAAAGAGATGAACTAACATACAATTTGATATTGTAATCGAAAAATACCCCGAAATACCAAAATTCATTTGAATATCACAATTATTTTGAAATTTATTAACAAAAAACAAAAATAAGAATTCAATTTTGACACTGTATCTCAGAAACGAATAACTTTCGGACATATATTTATACGAACTTTTCTTCTTATTTTGACGTCAGCAACATGCTCCTGGATTTTCTACACGTACTTAAGAAACACCTTGTATAAAGAAAGTGAATTTTTGGAATATCTATTTGTTTTTCTACGTTATTATTAGATATATATATAAAACTCTAAAAATACTTTTACATGGCATCTCTTGATGAGATTTAACGTGGTGATATTGATTTCTCCACGCAACGTTTCGTATTCGTAGAGAAATCAACAACTTTTTTTCCAAATACGGCCCTGATTATCTGTTCACAGATTTCGAAAGTTTTTTTTTATTCTGAGTTCAACCATGGAGAATTATTAACAATTTTGTAAATTTTCGAAATCCATTGGTATGACCAGGTATGACCCTTGGAATGTGTAATTTTTTTCTCATTTAACCGAATTCGTATCTCTTACCGTTTCCGAAATCCCTCGCGAGACCCTCATGCTGCGCAACCTCGTGCGCAACCTTATCATGGTCACACTGTTCAACTTTTTTGTTAAGTACCAATATCTATCGAGAAAAAATAGTTGAGAGATTGAAAATGGCGAAGATTTGTTATATTCAAATTGAAAGTAAGAGGAAAAATTCGAGAGATCAGACGACTAAGTTTATGTAAAAAAACAATTAGAAGAGTTGAAATAATTTACTAGGTATTTGAAATGAACATCCTCAGATATATTTATGAACACAAAAAAATGGATATATATATAAAGAAATACATTGAGAATTCGCATTCTCCATGTGATAAAAATATCAATTCAGAATTACTTTCCACGTCCTGTATGATGAATGTCAATTCATCATATACATTCAAAAATTACTAGGTATTATTTCTCGTGCACAAAACGTCAACCTTCTGTATCTAGGAATCGGCAATAAAATGTCAATCAATGAAAATGATCGATCTATCATTGTACAAAAATATAAGGAAATGAGGCGAAGGTTGAAATAAAGTAAAATGATGATATTTCTCCAATACCTACCTGTATTATTGTATACATCTTTGAATAGGAGAATATTGTATTTTTTCAGCTTTTGTGCAAAAAAACTTCAAAATGTTTCTCGGGATGTTTCTCTATGCCATATGTCTGTAGCGAGGTCTGTAGCAACGAAAGTTTTGGCCCCTATATCAAGATTGTTTATGAAACTAACTCTACAGTTTATAGATCGGCTCATAGTAAGTCGCTAAATTTCATACTTATATTTCTGTGAACTCGTTTGTCCGAATTGCAAAGATATACAGGCTGTCCCTAATATGTATTCACAAAAGAATACTTAATATTCCTCATCAGACCAAAACAATAAGAAATATACAAGCAAACTTACTTCAGTACAAAGTTGCTTAGTTTGAGCCTCGGTTAGAGCGCTAGACAAGTAGACAACATGTTTTAAATTACTAGAATTACGAATTTTTTCGAGATCATGAGAGTAATAGAATTTCATCAAGAGTACCTTCTAGATGTTTATTTACTGAAAAAATTGAATTCTACGCCTAGCATGGAATGATATTCATCATAATTTCGATCATTATCATGATATGGGTTTAATTGCTTGATGAAGCTATGTCAATGTAGGTACAAAATTCTCCAGAGCCGTTTAGCGCCCAAACTGAGCAATTTTATACTTAGGTAGGTAGATTTGATATAATTCAATTGTTGTGGTCTGAGGAATATGTGGTATTTTTTGTATAGACCTTTTAGCGAGGGGTAAGTACTTAGCCATTTTTTGTACACCAGGGGGTAATCAATGCCTCAATTCACAGAAATTACCCTGCAATGCCTATTTTTCACTCAACAATACCCCGCATTGCCCAACATTGCCCCCCAATGCCCAAAATTACCCATCAATGCCCAACAATGCCCCTCAATGCCCAACAATGCCCAACAATGCCCAACAATGCCCTATATAACTATCTCTTTTCATTCCATGTGTTGAAGAGAGACAGATTATATTGAAACGTAATAACTTCCTTATGTCTTTCACATAGTTCAATTTCATACAATTGTCATACTGAATTATCTAATGGGACCAGAAACAATTAATAATTGAACATATTTTATTGAGAAACCACACATAACAAGCAGTCGAACATAAAACAAACATAGAAACATAAACAATAAACGCCTATTCGCAAAAACAACTTATAGGACCATAAGACGAACTGAGTATATATTCCTGAAGGTACTTGTTTAGACCGTATCACAATAATTCAGAGATCATAACAACATAACATGAACACTAGGCATCTAAGTCCAGATATTATAAGTAGTACTAAAATCTTGACTAAAAATAAACATTTTCCTAAGTATATAGTTATAAAAAAAACGCAAACTGTGAATTCTTTCTTGAAACTAAAACATAGTTTTTCTAAACTAAAACAAAGTTGAGATTTTCTTGAACCAAAAAGAGCTCAAACATAAATAGGTACATATTTTGTTAAAGCATATCACACTGGATATCACATTATTCAACTTGAGTATGTTCTTAAGATTCAAAATTTTTTTTCGATTCCAAATAAAGCTTCGAAATTTTCACTTTATCCGCTCTTTTCAGGAGGAACGGAGAATTTTCCCCAAGTAGAAGTGGTCCGTAAAAAATACATTCTCTTGGTATACAATTTTCAATTTCTGGCTTTTGTGGCCAGATAAAATTATCACTGGCAGGAATGTTTTCTAAAAACCTTATTCTGAATCTGTCTTGATTTTTTTTTAATACCTGTCCCAGATACCAGTCTTCATCGAATGCCACTGCATAGATTTTATCTATTTCAGGATCGAAAACGTCGAGTTTTTCCACCATCTTATCTTCTTCTCGATCTTCTCCCAAAGAAGAGAATGACTCCACATCTGTGGAATCGTCTAACACGATATCTGGTTCTTCGTCTGAATCTGAATCTCCGATACAATCAGTTTGTTTCTTTCTCTTGGTTTTTGAATTATCAGCTGGTATTTTCGATTTTCTTTTCTGGACAGATCTAGAACTGAAACGCTGTAAGCGATCGTTACTGATCCGTCCCTTCCCCTCATTCAGAAGCCAGCATAATGATGATTTTTTTATTACGATCGTTTTATTATTTTCTAAAGTGACTTTCACATATGGACTTTTTTCATCTATTTCATATTTTTTACTCGAATAGTCGGTTAAATCCAATTCCGAGAACGTTTCGGTCATGTCCAAATCCTTATCATTATCAATAAAGTTTCTCAGGTCATTTTCTGTAGATTCAACTAGCACATGCTCAAAATCCTGGCTAGTCATCATATCAGCTGGTCTCTCTATGTTGATATCCAATGTGTAAACAGCATTCACATCAACTGGCATTTCCAAAGATTCTGCTTCTGAAATTGCGTCTTCTAAACATTTTTTCAAAATGCCGTCTGTATCTATGTTTGACACATTGAGAGTGCCGTATTTCTCTTGTAGCAGTTGCTTTCTTGTTTCTCTGGGAAATACGTATGTGTCTTTGAGGTCGTGTTTCAGGTTGTTCAGGTACTGGATTCTCTCGAGCTTGTGGGTCAATTGTTTCAGAGTAAAATTGATTGCAGTAGTCTCGGTTGGTGCCATAGACCTTGTATGCCGGAAAGTCGTTTCGCAGTCTTGGCTGTTCATCAACCAGAGTCGAAACATCTGCTGATACAACGAGTTATCTGTCTGAAATAAATGTATCAATTTTATCAACATTGCGCCATTGAGCTCAATGCAGGTGTATGCATTCAGTGTGATGAAATTTTGTTGTAATTTCAAGTCTTGATTCAATTTAACTGAATGCCTCCAAATTCTCAGGAAAAAAATTGAGAAAAATGTTTTGTACACAATTTCTTCGAGATCACAACTTTTTTCTACGAACGCAGAATTCAAGTAATTCATGATTTTGAGGAATGTTTTCGTTCCATTAGTATTTTGTACGTTTGAAAGCAAGTCAGTTACTCTTTGATCGCAAATTCTTCTTGCATTTTCATAGTTCATGCGATCTTCGTTGCTTATATTTGAAGATGTCAAAAGATGTTTGTCTTTCGAAAAATTTTTAATCAACTCACTCAGATCGTCAACTTTGGCAGTATATTTTCCAAGAATCAAATTCGTTTTATGGTCCAAAAACTTATTTTTGAGCTTGACTATTATATGTATGCTGTCTTGCAAATAGCAAGTATCAGTGTGAGAATAATCCAAATGAGTCCAAGAAGTCGAATCCTTTATAAAGCCTGCCTCCACTTTCATTGCTTTGAGCAATCTGGGATCTCCATCTGAAGATATACCGAGAACTCTTATTCCATAACTAACAGCTTCCTCTTTAATGCTTTTCCACCTCAGAGACACGTCCCTAGCATTGAATTTATTGTCTGTACCATACACACTAAGACAAAACGGTGGTGCTTCGTTCTCCAATGCTTGTGCTACTATGATTAGAGCGTAATCTGCCTTTGATGAATTACGATACATACTTTGTATTTTTTCGGAAGACGTTGCCTGGAAAGCATGAGGTATCGGAAGACCATTCTCCAGTGGAGAGGAAAAACCAAAGATACTGTTTGTTGTACTATCATATTCAATTGTGCTGGTTAGTCTTGTGCAGTCTTCAGAAACCCATATTACCTTCTTCAAATTTCGCTTCTCCAAAAAAGTATTCAGTTGTCTCATATTTAATTTACCTGGTTCATAGCCGATCCGCTGTTGAAATGTAAATTTTTGCAGTGTTCTTATGCATGGTAGAACATTATGTAAATTGGCGTGCAAGGTTTCGTATAGTTGTCTACCACCAATATAATAAATGTATATTCCGAATTGTTTCAAGTTACTTTCGAAGCTGTTCTTTTTCTTAGGGTCACTATTTCTTAACGCATGCTCTAATATGTCCTGCAAGAATTTGCTTAAATTTGCATTCTTTGTTTCTGTGTCCGAAGCATTAGTGCTGGCAGTAGGGTCATTGTGGAAAGATAAACTATTTGGATTACCTGATAGCGTCTCGGATATTTTGTCAATAATTGGGAAGAATTTTGTGATTTCAGTTTGTTCTGAAGAAACGGAAGCCTCACGTCTTCGTCTCTCTCTTTCTAGCCTTGAATATTTGATTGATCTCCATTTGATTGAGCGCTGCTTTGTTGTGGGGCATGTGTCATTTTGATCGATTTTTTCTGAAATAATCTCAGTAACAGAACTATTTCGAGCCAGACTCTGATGATTTTCAAAATGAGAATGCGAATGATCAATCTCTAGAGCTCTTTCTGGAACCATCTTGACCAAACTGCGTGCAAAATCTATATTTTCAGGATACTGTTCAAGTGTTTGTTTTGGGAGATGTGTCGAATCTTCTTGTGATCTAGTCGTGCATGAGTTCTCAGCAAATTTTTCATGCTCCTGATATGACCAATCTACATCTCGTAATGTTGGGCTAGCTAAACATGTGTCTCCGGCTATGCTATTGAGAATCTGATGAAGACCTGCTTCGTCTCCTGTTGAGCTGACCATGCTAGAGGTTTCAGCAGATGTTTCATGCTCCTGGTCTGGCCAATCTATTAGAGGTACATTTGGTCTCACTGGGCTAGTGAAACCTGTGTTGTCGGTTATTCTATTGATATTTTGAGAATAATCTGCTGAAGGCACATTTGTGATATTTTTCGTTGGAACATTGCTTATTTTCAAATCAGATGATTGCTGAGGGGTAAAGGAACTTATATTTAAGACATTTTCTTTGTCTCCAACAGTGGTATGTCGCTTCGTCATTTTAAAATTGTCAAACATCAGACATTGTAATATTTTCGGTTTGTTGTTAACTTCAGTCTTATCGACTATGTCAGGTGATGAAAGACTAACATTTTCAGTGTCTAGTAGAGGATCTGGTGGTATCACTTCTGGAATAACTGTAGTCTCGACCGTAGTGAATGCTGTTATTTTGGTTTGAGTCTTGTTCTCTTTCATGACTTCTCCTGTTTTTTTTTTGTTTTTTTCTACACCGTCTTTGTTCCATGTGTTGGGTAATTTATCTTGATCAGTAAAATGTTTTTGCTGCAGGTGGCTATAAAAATTTGACAAAACCCACCGAGGTTTTGTTGTTGATTTTTTTGAAAACTGTCTGACGTTGAAGAAGTTTTTGCAACAGCAAGTAACCTTACATATAAGTCCATCATTCTCGGAAGTGTTGTGATATGCTGTCTCATATTTGATGTTGTTAAATACATTATTGAAATGAATGTGTTTTGCGGTCCATTCTTCAGAACCCACACGATTCTTCGCCCAAGTGCGCACTATTCTTGCAACATTTGCATTCTCGGCAATCAGTGAGTTACTGTTTGAAGAACCATTGACTCCAGCATCAACCTCGCCATCTGAAGAGCAACCCAAAGTTGACGTTGAATGGTGTATTCCAATCGAATGGGTACCTTCGCATAATTCCATAACTTTTTCGGTCATCGTAGAAGCATCCTTGAAGAATTCACTCTTTGGTCTCAGAGAATCCCTCATAAGGAGGATGAGATTGACGAACCCATCTACCAAAACGAAATGTTCTGGTTTTTGACAATAGAGGGGACCATAAAAATTCCCTCTCTCTTCTTTGGCAACCAAGGTGGGCAATTTTTCTCGAGCAAACTTTTCTATAGCCTTGATGTCGCTTTTGGTGATGTTTTTTAACGTGGCTGCAGTACCGTAACCAGTTACAATTAATAAGTTAACCAGATGTTGGGGAATGTCGCTTCGTAGATTTTCAGATATTTGGTCGAAAAACGCCGCCGACTCCATCTGAAAAAAAGATTGTCCCTAGAAAAATCAAAATAACAATCTCTGGATTGAGAAATCGAAACTTCAATTCATCTCAAAGCTCATTCGGTGAAAACTTTTCATTGGGAAAAATTATTCTGCTTGTCATTGTAATTGTTGTGAGTAAACATATGGGGCATCTGTCGATTAATAATAAACGATTATTTGCATCATAAATTTGAATGAAGGAGGTATACCAAGAATTCAACTGATGGATTTTCTCCTGGTCACTTCATTTGGGCTGTTCAGTGAAGCTAAATCTAGAGGTAAACCCATCATTCACCACCAAGGAATTTTTAAGTAATTCCATTTGTGGAAAAGTAATATTTTATGAAAGAAACAAACAGAAGAAAAGAAAAAGGCACAAAACACAGATCAAACTATATATAATACTATACTTTATAAAATATTACCACTAGAAACTACAAAATTGTATCATACTATTTTGTAGCGGTATTATTTGATGAATGTAGTGATTGGCGAAAAATTTACTAAACGTTTGGTATTTACTATACAGACTATTTCTCTGAGTGTAATTCAAAACAAGAGAATCTATAATGAAGAAGAGAAGGAAACATACCATAATCGGAATAATGCTCATTAAAAAATTGTCATTTCAAGGAGGTGAAAGAATGATTTCTACAATATTACTCAAAAAATATCAGAACAAATGAAATTAAGAAAAAATAGAGTGTATCTTCCGAGTAGCTTCTATACAAATGCATGCACTCGAAACTAAATGATAACTTCTTCATATTATATGTGCAACGTAGGTTATTTCGTGAAAAACAGGTTCAAAATATTGCAGCAAAAATTTCGACTTTGAATAGGAACAAAAAAAATCGGCAAGCTTTTGAATCTGTTATTCACAGAATATCCTACGGCACACTTCAAAAATAGTTATTTTTGTATCTAGTGCGCGGAATGCTACTTTGGTGATCAAGGACTGATTTTTGAATAAAGCGCAGCCGGGGAAATCCCTATATGCCAATTTTGATCGGACCATAAATACGAAAACTCGTCCACTATATTGGAGCCGCCATCTCGAATTTTTCAATTTTGATACATGAATCGTAATCTCCGCCATATTGAAACCGCCATTTTGTTTTTTGTTCAACAGAAATGTTATCACGCATTGTCATGGAAATCATGTGCCCCTGCCAAATTTGATAATTTCGTATCGTAATAAACTCTCTCGAAATGATAATGAGATGATTTTTTTACTAAAATATATTGAAAATGTATCGTGAAAAATCTTCTAAAATGATAATGAGATACTTTGTTCACTAAATTAAGTACCTAAAAAGTTTAGTATATTAACATTCTCATTTGAAGTTGGTGGTTCTCATCAACATGATCAATTTGAACACTTGAGCTGTAATAAATATCTATACAATTCCGAAGATAATATTTAGTTGAGCTCATTGAACATTCGCCAGACGACCATATACGCTTACGAGAAACACACAACAATATCACAAGAGTTCATAAACCATCATTATGCGAGACCGTATGGTATGTATTGGTATGTGTTCAAATCGATAGTTACAAATAATTCAAAAAACAAATTTAATAAATACTTACCGTGTTGTTCCTCTTCCAAATAAAAACAGATGAATGCGGAATATTACATCATTCTCATTATTCTGAGTGTGGCATTGAGCTGAGCAGTAAACACAAAAACAAAACTGGCTGTAGTCGGAGTTGATAACAACAAGACGAGATGCGGAACGCTCGAATTGTGCAATCATAATGGAGGCGGACAGGCGGATGCATCATCTCGAACCATTGAACTGAATATAGTGACCTCGAGCAGAAACGGATGCGCGCGCAACAAATTCATCCCAAATATTGCGCCACAATGCCCTTTCAGTGCTCTTTCAATACCCCGCATTGCCTAACAATGCCTCACAATACCTTGCAATGCCCATCAATACCCTGCAGTGCCTCGCAATGCCTCGCAATGCCCCGCAATGCCCCACAATGCCTCGCATTGCCCCGCAATGCCCCTAAGTTGTACACCGGATTACCCCATGTACTTACCCCTCGCCTTTTAGGCACACCCTGTATGGTTTTTCAAAGTGTTCAATGAAATTGATTAACATTTACATTTTGTGTCGGCCCCATATTGGATTTCAAGTAGTGTCATATGGTTTTTGTATTCTACTTGTCATTCTCTCTTATTTGGTACCCATGTCGAGGGAATTGTGAACGAATTCAGTAGTTATTTACCAAACAAGTGCGAAAAGTAGTACTTTACCGCACGCGACGGCTATTGCACGAACGACGCGGGGCGGAGTTCGGGCAAGCCGTCAATTGTGGAAAAGACATTTGCCGCGAGAAGGGTAAGGTATAATGTTTTTCCACGAGTGTTTTTGTCCATATTATTATTATTTGAGAAAAAAAAAGTTTTCAATAAACAAGATTTTAATAGTTACATAGATCATTTAGTTAGTCATAAATATCCCCATTTTCAACAATACAAAAATCGTGGCGAAAAGTAACTTTTCAGCACTAGTGGGGTAAAGTAACTTTTCCGCACGCTCGTATAAAAAGGAATTTTTTTTGTCGGCGGCCATATTGGATTTCAAGCTTTGTTATAAATTGTATTCTACTTTATAATAACCGTATTGAATCTGATAATACCCATATTGACCAGACCCAAAGATATGTGTAAAATTTCAGCATGATTGGATATCGGGAAGTCGTCGAAAAATCGATCGCCAGACAGAACTCAAAATGTTCAATAAAAATAAATTTTTCTCGATCTTCTCATCTTTCCGAATAATTAACAGGATTCCAACGGGAAACCTTGAAGAGAATGAAAATTCGACTGACTAACATATGATATTCTAAGTGGGACAAGGTACTCTCGGTGCTCGCGGTACCTCTCCGTAAAAAAAAAATCAACAAAGTAGGTCTTGAAGCAAAATACTGTGCAGTCCATATATATGTTTTCTTTGCGCAAAATTCATTTTCATATCTGAACATCGTTGAGAAATTTGACTTCAATTTTCTAAAAATTGCTGGGACTACCAAGTTATTCATAAAGAATACCCAAAGAATTCTCGAACTTCCCAAAGAATTCCTCGGACTTCCTAAAGAATACCCGGACTTCCTCAGGAATTCCCGGACTTCCCAAGGAATTCCTGGACTTCCCAAGGAATTCCCGGACTTCCCAAGGAATTCCCAAAGAATTCCCGGACTTCCCAAAGAATTCCCAGACTTCCCAAGGAATTCCCGTCTAGGGTACACCGGACTTCCCATGTGATTTACCCCTCGGTTTTTTCTATTCGACAAAATTGAATTGATCATGACAACATTATATTTGTTGATTCAACCCATCACTATCAAGAAATATGTTGTTATTTCGGACAAATTATTTTGTTGAACAGAACCCACAGATACATCATATCAAACAGATATTTTGTTGAATGATTATCGATTGGGGTGTACATATACCTACCTATAGAATATCCCTTTATATAATTATATTAAGCTGTCCTAGAATTTCTTATGACGCTTATACAAGCTAATAGTCTTGAATCAACTAAGGCAATTAATCTCCAAATTCTTTTAGTTTTGAAATTCAGTTACTGGTTTTAAAAAAATATTTTTCATCAGAATATTTTGTCGATTCTTAATACAATTTTGTTGATCGAAGAATATATATTGTTATTTCAACATATTCACTGTCCGGAAAACTGAAAATTTTGTCACTTGTCACTGGAATGATATAATCATTTCAATCAACAGAATCTGTCCATAAGAGCAGATATTGTAATATAGGAACAAAATAGTTTTTGTTTATTCAACCAATTCCTGCTGTCAATTTGAATCATTAATGAGTTACATCAAATGAGTTTTGAATTGAAAATTGACAAAAAACATTTGTTGCGGTGACAAAATGTTTTGTAGTGGATAAATGACACTCAGATTTTGTTGAATTTACAAAAATTCTGTAGTTACCAACACTTTTTTTTCTGTGTAATAACAAATATGGAGAGATAAATTCGTAAACAAACAGGGCTTTTAACTTGGTAACCAAGGATTTAAGAAAAAAAAGTTATATGAAGTAGATACTGGTGCATGATATTTTGACCCCATCTATACATTTCGAGAGGGAAAGAGGAAGTCCAGAGACACCCTGTATATGACTCAGTCAGGGCGTCACCCGTCACAATGACTGAATTGAAATTATGAACTCATTGATGGTATAATACAGGCAAATTGATGAATAATTATCAACTGATACATAATATCAACTATGATAGTTGTAACTTGTAACAGTGTAAACAAACATTTAGAGTTGAAGAGGTATCCTACACTACCAAAAAATATAAGATTATGTAATGGCAGTTGTCAATTTATATGTGTATGTGACTTAACAATCTTTATCATGATATACAAAATTGCTTTCAACCTCAAATTTGTCGATAAGTTTTTTTCGGAGGGATATAAACGCGATGAACTATATAATTCCAATCACATGCAATCTGACGATATCAGATATTCTGGAAACGTTGCCTGTTGCCTATCAGGAAATATTTCGTCTCAAAAACGATACGCCGGCAAGTGCAATGATCCGAAGAACGGTATGTGAAGAATGCAGTCGTCCGAAGAATGCAAAATCGAGAGAAAGATAAAGAAGGCTCGTTGAACTAATTCTAGACTCACGTCCTTAAAACTCGTTGAACAAAAATATCACAGACAGCGATAATGTGACGCATGCAGCGGTTTCCGTGTTATGACGGATTGTGGGATAATTGCAAAATATTTTGGTGTTCATTAACATAATATATGTGATTTTTTGAAACATTTTCATGGGAGACGAGGAAAGAATCTTATTGATAGATATTTCAATATTGCAGGTTTTCCGAAATCGAATCGAATGTCTGTAAGAAACATCAATATTTTTCACGCGAGTGCTCACAAAAGGAGCACTGAGGAGGAAAAAATATCGGTGCATGAATTCTTCTCTTGAAGTGGACAGGTTGTAGTTTTCATTAATGGATATATTATCTTGAAATAATGATATCCTACTGGCCATATGGGCAACAAGGTCATGCCATGACAAACAGTCTACTGCGACCCCAGATGGGTCTATGTTGTGGTTCACTCCTACTAGAGGTTAAACTTCACTGTACGATCCACTTCTTTTTACAAAGTCCATCGTAGCATGAGATGAGATTTTCCTGAAATTTGTAAGTTCTGATTTGACAAATATGCTGAACCTTAGTTTCTCTATAAGCAAGAGCATGAACATAAAATGTGTTCAGCCGTTTCATCTTCGATACAGCAGAAAACAGAGTATTTTTTGTTGGTTCAGATCCATCCTTCCTGGGTGGTATTTTTTTTGGTGTGAAACTTAATTAATGAACTTCATCAAGCTATGATACAATATAAATATAAAAAATTCGATGATCAGCCAACACTATTTATTCCTCATATTTCTTGTGGCACGTTTTGGTAGAACATTCGCGTATGCCGTTTTTTCCTTCATCACCCTGTCCACTCTTTTCAGCCTAGGTTTGATGATGGGGGAGCTATCATTAGAACTCTCCTTGGAAGACAATCTGAGACTCTTTCGCGGGATGATGGTCTGGTTTGGTGACGATTCGAATGATGAGACGTCCTGTAGAACTGACATCTCATTTCTTGTGATCTGTTTCACTCTACTGAGCCTTTCATTATTTTCTTGATTGTTGATAGCAGTACTCTCATCTTTATTTCCTTTGTTCCGCGTCCTTGCAACCTTCTGCTCGTAGAAGAGGATGTATGCTTCTCCACTCACAATAGATTTAGATGATTTTTAGTGAAACAATCGAGTCATTATACTCGTTCCATAACCAGTGATTGGGTGTTTACAATATGCTGTGTAGTTTCCAGACAAAGTTGTTTCACTATGATTAGATATATATAGTGTATTAGGGAATATATGTATTAACAAAGACTTCGTGAAATCCCTTCTTTCCTTACATCTTGAACATGTTGGTGACTCATCACCATTCAAGATCTCCTCTCTGGTGAAAAGGTCTAAGCATTGTGAAACTCTGAGTTGCCCCGTTGTGTTTGGAATCGGTAATGATATATCCCAGAAAGGTTCAAAACTCACAGAGCAATGTCCACAATAGGAACATCTCAAAGTTGATTTCAATTGACCAACAAAATTTTCTACAAAAATCGAGTTTTCTATTCTCAAATACCTAGACCAAGACTCTTGGGCCTTTTCATGATCACTAAGTTTCTCATCTACTTCTGTGAAGATTAGTTCATACCTTTCTGTTATCCTATTCACATCTTTATGAAGGCCTTCGAGAAGGTATCTGAGAAACTCTTGGGCGTCCTGTTCAGCGTAATAGTTCACCAGAGTATCAGTTGAATCTTCCAACCATAGACCGTTACTCACTTCTGCAAATGTTTTCATTAACAATGCAGGATCATTCAACTCGACCATATATTTCCCTTCCCTAAGAAATTCCAAAATCCATTTAGTGTTTGACAAACATTGTATTATGCTGTTCATGAAACAAGTGTTGCCAATATTCTTCAAACCTCTCAGACCAAAAATTTTCAAGGTATTCTGCCGAAATTCAAAAGAATGATTGATTTTTTTGAAGTTAGAAGATTTGTTATTTAATGTTGGTATCCTTTGCGGGCGTATGAATATTTCATCTAGACATTGAGTGGAAGGAATGGCACCCAATATAGAAGTAGCATTTCCTCTCTGGATGGCGATACTGATGCGTTGTATGAAAAAGGAACTAGCCCTTGGGTCATTTGTTTTCTTGATGAGCCTCTGTCCAATTATTTTCATGAAATCTGAAGCATAACTTCCAAAAACACCAAATGGGTCCATAACTACTGGAAATAAAATGAACTGATCCTTCAGATGTTGATATCTCCTCAATTTCAATTTTCCTGCTGAATCAGCGGCTCCACCACCAACTCTTGATGTTGAATGGATATGAGATGCTGCAACCGTATCTACGCAGGTGAAGTCCCAGATTAACGGTTTGCCTCGACTCCATGGAATAAGGGACATTCCGTCTGGAATGTCTGGAAGAACGACAGTGCCCCGTAAGCAGTATTTCCAGAATTCGCAGGATGGTTCTGCTCGATTTCACGATCTGCCTTGTTTTATTTTCCGATGGTTTTGACAGGTCTTCGAATGATTAAATCCTGGTTATTCAGTTCACTATACGCGAGTCTCTTTCTTTCCGCCCAGTCCGACATAGTTGTTCGGGTTGCCCTTGTGGTGACATCAAAGTATGGTTCATATTCTATGAACATCGATTCGGTTTCCTGTTCGGCCAAGATGTCGGACATCCCCTGGTGTGGGCAATCTACAATATTCTCCAAATCATCGTTCACTGTCTGGATGTGTTGCAATTGTTGACCTTGGTTGGTTACTGAACGGCTTACATGTCCCTATCTTAACTTTCGATTCACTATCTACTGACATTTCCATTTCCTTATCAACAATAGTGAACTACCAAATTTTCAAATTCGGCGCATCTATGGTTTTCTATGTATTTATCGATGCAGTTCCCGGAGGGACACCCTGTATAGGTTCTGAATTATTTCTGATGAAAATAAAATCCATACTGTCTTGAAACACTCTTATCTTCTCATAAACATGAGAAATTGTCATGAATCAAGAACCATTGTGTTAAGAAGGGACGAAAAAGATCACATTTCAATTCAAAACATGATGAAGCAGAAGGTGGGAACATATGGTTCTGAATTACTGTGAATGAAAATTTAAAAAATCCATAATTTCTTGAAATACTTGTATCATCTCTCACAAAGTGATTATCGACATGAATCAAAAGTCATACTGTTAAGAAGAGATTATACTTCAATCGAAAAAATAATGAAGCTAAGTTTAACCACTCACCATTGCCACAAGGCAATAAAAAGTTAAGGATGAAACTTTCGTTTTTCCATGTATAATGATCAAGTTATCAGCTTTTCTAAGGATCTGATGGTCAGGCTGACATTCCGAAACATGAATATACCATTTGGTCCAAATACCACCAAAATCGGAAAAGAATCAAAGAAGTTACAGGGCTAAATTTGGTGGTGGCCGGTTTTTTCTTGCCGGTGAGTGTGAATCTAGAAACAATAATTGACTAATTTAGAAAAAGAAGAGAAATCGATAGTCACTGACCCCGGGCCAGTGACTTTGAAGCTGGGGTGCTGGATCATTGAAAAATATAAAACACTCACCTATATTTGACTTGGTATATTGCATCCATTCCACAGATTTTCAAATAATTATAGGCCAATATCAGCATTTCTCACACATCAGAGTAGTTTTCTGCAATCTGAAACAATTAAAAATTGCCAGTCAGTTCTTGCCTCGGTTTTCGCGTTTTTGTAATTATAACTCTGAGGGACTCCAACTGAAGCATGCCTCCGAGCCCCAGTTAGGGCATGGATGTTTGTGAATGTATGCTTCAATACCCTCGCACAAAATTCCACTTATGAAACGTCCATTGCTGGGACCAACGGCAAAATGAGATTTAAAATATATATACAGGGTGACATAGAAAAAAGAACATTGCATATTGCCACATAATAGAGGACACTAAAATAAGAAAACAAGTTCCCATGAACACAGGTCCGCAAGGCCTTCGGTTAAAAGATATATAGAAGGTGTTGAATTTAAGTATTTTTTTGTTTTTGTTTTATTGAATATCTCTAGCCAGAGACGAAAGAAATGGTTAAATGTGGTATACAGAGGTATATACATATCTCTAACCGAAGGCCTTGCGGACTCGTGTTCATGGGAATTTTTTTCCTCACTTAGTGTCCTCTATTGTGTGGCACTATGCAATATACTTGTTTCTATGTCACCCTGTATTCATGGTTTAACCGCATATGGTTTATCTCCTAAATACTGGAAAATATCATTCGCTATGAAATGAGGATTTGAAGAATGTGGTTATATATAAGGGCTGATTCATGAAACCCATTGAAAAAACGAATAAGAAGTTTGAATTAATATATTTTTTTCTGAAAGTTGGGCATCGCTAAGTGAATGGAAAGTTCTTCAGTTGAAATATTTGTTAATTTCTATGAATTGCACTTATACCGGAAGTGTTCCATGTGGAACACACTGTATATTTGGACTAAATCAGAATCAACATGGACCGTTGTTTTACTGATCAACATATATGTGTGTCGAAAAGGATGAGTCAGTATAGGGAGAACGAAAAATTCCTAAACATCATATTCATGCTGATTTGGTAAGACCATGTGAAACACAATATGGTGAGTATTTTTATTCAGGGTATGCCATCGATAAATTCGAGAGCAACTTTGTGAATATTACCCCTCTATGTACCGTCCCTTCCATACTTATAAATTACTAGATGTTACAAAATGGTGTTTTTGAAGATAATCTCGTTGTATAAGTAGGTATAAATGGTTTATTGCTTTAGGTATTTATAGGACGTTTCAGGATAAAACACGTTCAAAATCAATAAAACAGTGAAAAATGGCTCACCCTATTGAATGAAAATTACAACACCATTAATAAATGAGCTCTTCTAAAGAAACACTAAAACTCTGGGGAACTCGGAAATGTGCGGCGAATAGGCAACACTTCCGCGATATTTATGCGTTTGTGTGGCCCTTCGCCGAGATATTTGGCGATTGCGATGGCTCATGCGCACGGACCGTGCGACTTTTTCACGGGCGCCAGTCCCACGGTCAGCCGTCAGCCATCAGTTTAGATCTCTTGCGACGCGATTCCTTCGCAATTGTTCACTTTTGTGCTTCCTACACCCGGTTCTCGGCACTGTTGGCACTACTTTCGTATGTGCGGCGTTGCCAAACGTACAAGAATTTCCTAGATGTGCTTGTAATTTGATTTTATCACCAAGGGCCCAAGGAAATATATCAATGATTGCATGTTGGAGAGGATAAGGCGGAATTGTTCACTTTTGTACTTCCTATATATGGTTTCCGGTACTGTTGGCACTACTTTCGTATGTGCGGCGTTGCCAAATGTACAAGAATTTCCTGGATGTGCTTGTAGTTTGATTTTATTACTAGGGGGCCAAGGAAATGTAGCAATGATTGCATGGTGAGGAGGATAGGGCGGAATTGTTCACTTTAGTGCTTCCTACACCCTATTTCCGGCACTGTTGACACTACTTTCGTATGTGCGGCGTTGCCAAATGTACAAGAATTTCCTGGATGTGCTTGTAGTTTGATTTTATTACCAAGGGCCCAAGGAAATGTAGCAATGAGTGCATGTTGGGAAATATCAGGCGGAATTTTTCACTTTTGTGCTTCCTACGCCCGGTTTCCGGCACTGTTGACACAACTTTCGTATGTGCGGCGTTGCCAAATGAACAAGAAATCCCAGCATGTGCTTGTAGTTTGATTTTATTACCAAGGACCCAAGGAAATAAAGCATGTTGGGGATTATTAGGCGGAAATAGTTGACTTTTGTGCTTCCTACACCTGGTTTCCGGCACTGATGGCACTACTTCCATATGTACGGCGTTGCTAAATGTACTAGAATTTCCTGGATGTGCTCGTAGTTTCATTTTATTACCAAGGACCCAAGAAAATAAAGCAATGATTACATGTTGGGGAATATGACGCGCAATTGTTCACTTTTGTGCTTCCTACACCCGGTTTTCGACACAGTTGACACTACTATCGTATGTGCGGCGTTGCCAAATGTACTAGAATTTCCTGCATGTACTTGTAGTTTGATTTTATTACCAAGGGCCCAAGAAAATATAACAATGATTGCATGTTGGAAGGGATAGGAGGAGAAGGGGAAGATGTGAAAGAACAATAGAACATATTATGATTGAAACATTGGGCGCAGAACTGCCTTAATTTGGAATTTTACGACGGACATATGGACAGCTGCAAGTTTTGATTCATTCCATGTTCAAAAAAACAAGTACATAGAAAACATTCTTAAATCATTGAATATAAATAAGAATAAGCGATAAGGATTAATGTTACAAAACTGGTACAGAATGAAAATTTCATTGTGTAGTAGGTATCTCCCTGTAATTAGAACTTTTGAAGTTGTCAAGATTATTGAGATTTGTCAAGATATAAAATATAGACTTCAATCAATTCTAAGTCCGATATATTTATTTATACATCCACAATTGGTGACCCCGAACGTTAGTAACACGACATGGTGAAGTATATTCAGAACCTGAAGAAAGAGCAGATCATAAATCTGTTGAAATTTTTCAAAATCAGTACCGGAGGTACCTTTGGTGACGTGAAGTTGAAGTTGGAAGCATATATATTGGAGATACCTACTACGAGTAATGTAGTAGGTATCTCCCTGTAATTAGAACTTTTGAAGTTGTCAAGATTATTGAGATTTGTCAAGATATAAAATATAGACTTCAATCAATTCTAAGTCCGATATATTTATTTATACATCCACAATTGAAATAATCTACCCATATGATTTTTCATTTCAGACTCCTAAGAAAATCAACAATAGAAATGGTATTCACACAAAGCAATAACAACTGGACACTTTCAAACGCAAAGTCCTATTCTCGAACCAGATGGAAGAAAACTGATGTCGGTGCCTGAGGATCGATTCTCATGAAAAACTTCCGCATATCGATATCTGACTTCGTTTCTGAGTAACAAGGTGTTTTTCGAAAATGGGCATTTTTGAAAAGTGGCTACAGATATTTTTTTGCAATAATTGTCTGTTTTCATGAAGAGATACTGCAAGGCATTGAGTTTGTGATAAAAATTGTTCTCGATGCACTGAAATCGTCCTTCTAATACCTAGTTCAAGAATATAACTGGTTTTACTTGAAGAACAATTTTTGTTTTGCAACTGATCAATTTTCATTACAAACACAATGCTTTGGAATTTTTTTTAATGAAAACGAAGACATTTTGCCAGAAAAAAGACGTTTGGCAACTTTTCAGAAATTTCAAGGTCACTGGGTCCACTTTGTTGCATCAAATTGAAACCTATATTATTATTCATCAATTCATATCGAAGTCTATTCTAATGTATGTACGCTGGAAGATCCTAATGAAGTAAGAAAAACATTCGTTTCAGCCATTTTTCAATTCGCCTTCAAATTTGAATCGTTTTAAAATTGAAAAACATTCGAAATTGAGATCGAATGAAAAAAGTCTCACAAAAAAGTTGAAACTTTTTTGAAAGATACATTTTTTCTATTCGAATGGAAATGTATCAATTGAACTACCATTGCAGCAAAACATATGAAAGAAAGAAGTCCAACTTGCAGCCGAACAAAAGTTGACCAAGGAGGGTTGACTTCAGAACGGTTTTCATATTTATTAGCTATATGAAAGTGAACAACATTATTTACCCTACTTCCGGTTTTACCGGTAATGACCCTATACACGAATTTAACGATAGAGTTTCATGCGGATGTCAAACTACTACGAAATATAATCTACTGGGCATTCGAAACGAACATTTTTATTCAAAATATTCCTAAATAAGGATTATCGAGTTCTGGTTTCCAAAGATAAATGTTATTATTATATGATATGTATAGAGTCTGGCATCAACGATTTTGATTTTCGTGGATGTATTCAATGATTTGAGAATGTGTTTGTAGATAATGATAAAATTCACCCTTATAATTTTACCCCTATAGAACTCAATTTCCACATCATCCTCCCACTGCGGTGCTGCGATTTTTTTATTGATTTGCAGCATTATCTCGAGCATTAACAACTTCAATATTCTTATTCTTCATATTCTTTATATTCTTTATAGATTCATAGACCACGAGCATGGTGTCCGAGTTGTCTAAGCGCCCACATTTGCTAGATATAGTCCAGGATAATTATCATTTCACCTAGGGTTGCCAGATGGGTACAAAAACCAGATATCAACGTTCAAAAACTAATAAGCATGTTTTATACAGTATGTTTCTTAAGTAGGTGTCGAAAATTCAGGAGCATGTTGCTGATGTCAAAATAAGAAGAAGAGTTCGTATAAATATATGTCCGAAAGTTCTTCTTTCCAGAGATACAGAGTGTCAAAGTTGAATTCTTATTTTTGTTTTTTGATAATAAATTTCGAAATAATTATGATATTCGAATTAGGACCATGCGAGAGTCTCGTTTTCGAGAGTCTCGCATGGTCTCGTCTCGTTTTCGAGACAAGACTTTGTCAAGACGAGACGAGACTTTTATTGGTCTCGTCTCGAGTCTCGTGCAAGACTTCTCGTGTCTCGTGCGAGAGTCTCGCAGGTAAATATTTCTGCGTGCCGACTGCAGACTTGAGATTTTCTTCCATATACAACACATTTAGAAAGAATTCAGACTATTTGGCACAGATAGACAAAACATTTCATTCATGAATGCTTCAAAAACACAATCCATGATCTCTTATGGCGACGGAAAATAAAGGTAATTCTGCAATAACGACAGATCACATATTCAATGGCTACCTGAAAATCTATAAATAAGTCATTTTGTGCTGAATAGTCTAATATAAAGAATAACTTTGTTTTGACGGGAGTATGGATGCAGGAGCTTCAAAAATACTATTCTGTGTGATGAAAACACAATTTGCAATGGTGGAAAATTCATGCTTCTGAATTATTGTCCATTCTAAGTTTGATAGCACGAGATCTCTTAAGCATACCGACTACTTCAGTCCCGGCGGAAAGATTACTTTCTCACGTGCTGCGTTAACTATACGGAATCGCCTTAATAATGAATCTGCACGATGTTGAAAAACAATTTTTTTTGTTGAGATGTATGATGTAAGTATGTACCTATTAGGTACTTACTTTTCAATAAATAAGTTTATTTTTGTTGTAATTTTGTCTTCCTACTTCTACATTATACCTAGAAAGAAGGTAATGGTTAATATCCCGTACTAGACTGGAACAAGATTATGCATGACGAAATTGCGATACATTTGCGAGACTCTCGTACGAGACGCGAGACAAGACGAGACTGAAGGCTGCCAGACGAGACTCGAGACAAAACTTCATATTTCTTCGGCGAGACGAGACGAGACTTTATGAAAGTCTCGTTTCGTTGGTCTCGTGTGAATCACTATTTTCAATGACACTAACAAATTGGATGTTGGTTTGTCTCTTTCGTGGGGGTGGAATACATATCTTCTGAGTCTTCTGAAGTCATAATTTTTTTGTGCGTACCTGTATCACGTTCAATAGTAGAAAAATAGATTTCTCGAATACTTTTGTGAGAAAAATATATTCCTGGCATAGATCGCTGCGAGCAACAGTTTTCGATTTATTGGGATTTTAAATAATCGATGCATTTGAATTATTTCCATGGGGCTCGGCTCGTTAGTCGCCCATAAGTAGTAAATATCAGAAAAGATACGACAGTGCATTTTTCTTCTTTCATTCAATATTCTCCCACATTCAACATTGGAATATCAGCAAAAGATGATTCTTACTTCTTTGTACCTACTTTTTTGGACTCTTCCAATTTAAAAAATAACAATCAAATGAAAGATTCCCTAATCATCGACTGCCGAATCACCAGACATTCAGAAACCTTTTTTCAGCGTCTTATGGAGTCTGGATCCCTTAAAAAAGGTCCAGTGATAGGAAGACCGTTGACTACCAGGACTCCAGAAATTGAAGAAGCTGTTCTTCAGGCAATCGAAGAAGATCCACAGAAAAGCACGAGAAAAATTGCACAAAATCCTACGAGTCCCATGGAAATAATTCTAATGCATCAATTATTTCAAATCCCAATAACTCAAAAACAGTTGCTCGCAGCGACCAAGAATATATTTATTACACGAAGGTGTTCTAGAAATCTATTTTTCTACAATAAAACGTTATACAGGTACGCACAAAAAAGTTATGACTTTTCAAGACTCAAAAGACATGTAGGTGGCGCCACCCCCCCGAAAGAGACAAACTAAAATAAAATTTGATATCATCATTGAAAAATACCCCTAGATACCGAACTCTATTCGAATATCACAATTATTTTGAAATATACCTATTAACTTGAGTCAAATCTAGATGTTTCGATAATGAGGTGGCACAAAATTGAAAAAAAAATTAATTGTCGTCCCCAATGGTACTTTTCCATTGTCAAACCATGAAATCATCAACTATTTCTTATTCTCCTAATTTTTGGATCCCAACCCAATTGAAAAACGAGAGGACAGGATGTGCAAGAAAATTGTAATAACATTCATTTATTGAATTTGAAACAACAATTATTTTGAAAATAAGGAACAACGCCCATTCCGAAAAGAGTTATAACTTTGTTTTCAACAAAAATAACGTTGAACATAACAGAAAATCAAAAATCTAGGATTGTTGTAATTTTCAAGTTGGCTGATGTCAGAGTTCAATTTTGACGTTAGTTGATGACTTAAGAGTTTGTACCTGTGTATTGTGTTGTTACGTTATTCGTTAATAAATAGTTATCACTTACTCAAAATGCCACATAAATTTAATAATAATGAATATGCAGACATGTTGTATGTCTATGGTGGTAATGGAAAAGCTGCCCAAAGAGAAAATGCACGGCGATTTCCTGGCCGGCGGTTACCTAATGACAGGACTTTCTCTAATGTATTCAGTTACCTGAAGGAACACGGTAAATTTCCAACTGAAATACGAAATGAAGGTAATGAAAGACGGCATATCCAAAAATTAGTACAAGAAGAATCAGTCATGCCACTAATTTTCCCCAGTCGACTGTTTGGCGAAGATTGAATAAAAATAGTCTGCATCCTTACCATGTACAGCAAGTTCAGAGGCTACATGCAGGAGATGAAATTGAAAGGTTAGCATTCAGTAGATGGATATTACAAAATAATGGCATAATACAAAGGTGTTTATTTAGCGATGAAGCTCAATTTACCAGAGACGGCATCAATAATTCAAGAAATTCCCATGTTGGGGCTGAACAAAATCCGTTCGCTATTGAACAAACGAATTCCCAAATCAGGTTGTCCTTTAATGTTTGGTGTGGCGTTATCAACGACCAATTAATTGGACCCCATATCTTACCACATGTACTAACAGGAGAAATGTATTTGAAGTTCCTGCAAAACACTTTGCCCATATTGCTTGATGATGCAGGCGTTGATGTTGGAGGCATGTACTTTCAACATGATGGGGCTTCCCTTCATTTCAGGGTGATACTAAGAGAGTTCTTAAATAACAACTTCCCGAATCATCGATGGATAGGCAGAGGAGGACCTCACAACTGGCCTTCGAGGTGCCCAGATTTTATTCCACTCGATTACCATGTTTGGGGTTATTTAAAATCGAAAGCTTCTTCAACTGAGGTTAACACTAGAGAGGACCTCCTAAGGAGAATTGAGGACGCATGCGACGTGCTGAGAAATGAGCCAGCTATATATGATACGAAAGTCAATTCCAAATCTGACTATAAGAGCACCGAAATGTATTGAACAAAATGGAGGCCGCTTCGAACAACTGTTATATGTTATGTTGTTCAATTTTTTTTGTATCTTATTGTATTTGTTTAACTCGATACAATTTGTCGCAACGACATTTTTGTTCAAAATTATGTTTTTCTCGGAATGGCCATCGTTCTTTATTTCCATGATAATTGTTGTTTCAAATGTAGGGCAATAAACAAATGTTATGACAATTTTCTTGCACATACAAGGTGTTTTTGGTAATTCATTGATAATAATAATTTGTCCCAAATACGGACCTGTCCTCTCGTTTTCCAATTAGGTTGGGATCCAAAAATTAGGAGAGTAAGAAATAGTTGATGATTCCATGGTTTGAAAATGCAAAAGTACCATTTGGGGACGACAATTAATTTTTTTTTTTCAATTTTGTGCCACCTCATTATCGAAACATCTAGATTTGACTCAAGTTAATAGGTATAAAAGTTGTATGCGGAAACACAAAATATATTCAGCCTAGCTTATTTTTTCCTGCTCTTTTCAAATTTGTGAATGAAAGTCCAAAATATTGATATACAGGGTGTTGTTCCGACTCGAAACCTACTAATTAATTTTCTCAAGGCCGGACCTGGAACAAGACTACATCTTATTATGTCAATCGTGACGTCTGTGGACAAAGAACATGTCCACCAAATATCACGAAAATGTATAGGGTGGTTCATAAGTTATGATTAATTGAAACAAATTAGAAAATTGATAAATCACCCTGTATCTCAGCTACGAAGAATGATAGACCCATGAAATTATTTAGAAGCACCTCGGTGTCCTCCGTCTACCCATACTCTATGCATATTTCCCAATGAATCACCCTGTATATCTATACTAACTTTTCTTCTTATTTCGACGTCAGCCACATGCTCCTAAATTTTCTACACGTACTTGTGAAACACCCTGAATATTTTATAATAATTTTCAATATACTTTGCATTGGATGCTGCCATGCTGCAGGCTGCTGCCTTCAACTTTCAACAAAAACGCAAAATTCACATCCTTTTGTCCGGTTTACAACGATTTTCTCGTCCGGACAGACGTCAGAAAAACCGTGGAAAACCAGACATCTGGCAACCCCAATTTTACCTCGGAATTCCTTAAAGAAGGTTTGATGCCATTTCAGTAAGTGAAATTATTCATATTATTGCAGATTATCCATTAAGGAAGATAAGTATCTACGTCAAAACTAATATTTTTAGCAGAATGATGATTAATGGCCACTACCATCCTATTAAGTGTTCAGATTGGTCTGTACTAGAGGGCTGTGC